AAAAGCACTGGAAGAAACCAAGGACGATGCACTGGGTGTTATACGCAACTGATAAATTATTGAACATTACGCTGGAAACTAAGTATGTACCATATGTTGGCTAATTGAATTTAAATAAAAAAATATAAATCATGAAAAAAAGAAGAAACCAAGGAGAATGTTTCTGACAGGAAAAGTAGTAAGGCATAAGAAACAGAAGGCAAAGGAAAAAATGGTAGACAAAATTAGTATTTAAAATCTCTTCAAAAATGTCTGCAAATCAATAAGAACAAGACAATCTAACAGGAAAATGAAGAAAGGCTTTGGACAGACATATCAAAAAGAGGAAACTCATATGGTTAGAAACCAGTGGAGACTTTCAACCCCACCAGTAATTAGGGAAATGTAAATTAAAGCCACAACAGGAGACGAGACCACTTGGCAACCATATTGGCAAAATTAAATTTTACACAATCAAGCGTTAGTGAGGATGTGGGGAAATAAATCCTCTGACACAGAGGTGCTGGGAGTGTGAATTAATACAGCCACTTGGGAGTTTAATTAGACAATTCTTCTTAAATTTAAGAATCATATTTCCTATGACCTGATCATCTCGCTACTTAATTTGTATTTGATAGTGCCTGTGGGTAGGAAATGACATACAAAGATACGCATTACAATATTCCTAATAACAGTGAAAAATTAGAAGCAACTGAAGTGTCTATTAGTTAAGTATATACTGTGCATATTCATAAAATTGAATATTAAACTGATTTTATAAAAATGGGGTGGTTCTATAGCAGTGGTTCTCACCTAGGGCAATTTTGGCAATATCTGGAGACATTTTTTTTATGACTTGGGTGGGGAGATTACTGGCATCTTGCAGGTAGAGAACAGGTTGTCCTGTTCTGCAATGTACAGGACATCTGCAATGTACAGGACGACCCCCACCACAAAGAATGATCCAGCCTCAAATGTGAGTACTGCCAAGGTCTGGAAACCTTGGTCTCTGTAAACTACATGGATTTCACTTTGTGATGTTGAGTGAAAAAAAATCAAGTTACAGAAAGATACCTACCTTAAACCACAACAAAAACTCATAATAGTAATCTTATTTTATGTTTGTTCACATGCCACATGCATACAAAGTTCTGTAAGGATGCCCATCAAGTTCACCACTACAACTGCATGGCTGGCCATTGCATGACTTTTAGCTTTAGTTGTGGCATTTCAATTATTTAATAAGAAGAAACAAATAGTTGTGGGTTTTTTTATGTTTTAAATCTTTAAAAAGACCTTTAATTGTGCAAGTGACCTGGATGGGGAAAGATGAAGGTCAAGAGGGCATGTTAGGCAGATTCCTTGGCCCCAGTGGTCCATGGTAGGGCTACTCTCCTCTCAACATCAGAAGCCAGGGCCCCAAATCCCAAATTTGCAGAGCATTAGACTCTGCTTAAGTCCCTGAGAAGCTCAGGTAATTGACTCACTTCTGGCAGGCAAGGAGGGAAGGAAAGTGAGGACATAGTCTCTCTGAGGTCGCCCCCTCCCTTGCAGGATCCCAAGGGGTCCTGGCATCCCTGTAGCAGAGGCAGAAGCAGTAAGACCACAGTGAGAGAAGGCAGCAGGTAGGGAACAGAGGCAGCATAAATAATGCAGGCAGGCTCAGGTAAACCCCCCCCCACCCCAGCCCAGCTGGCACGCTCAGGGCAACAACTCCTTGCTTTGCAGTCCAGCCCTCACCTGCAGAGCAACGCTAACCCAGGACCTCCTGCTGGAGTGAGGCAGAGGCAGACGCAGAGCCTCGACCCCAGGTGAGTCACCTTTCCCACATTCCACCTGACTAGGAGAGACCTGGGGAAACAGCATCTGTCCCGGACTCAGTGAAACCACCCTGTTTATACAATCCGTTGTGCAACTTGAGTCTATGGCGTGGGGGCAACAGGTGGGGCTCCACTTTCTAGCTTCGAGGCAGTGTGATGATTGCTTTGCAGGCATTACCTTTTTTGGAGCTCACATTACCTTATGAGGGAGGTTCATTGTACAGGTGAGAAACTGAGGTACAGAGATAGAAGTTACCCACTCAAAGTTACCCAGGATGCCTTTCTGACTTTTCACCTCTCTCCCCTCTCTGTCCTGCCCAGAAACCAGTGGTAAAGGATCAGGGAGAGGCAAAGAAAGAGAGAGATAAGAGGGTTCAGGATTAAGAGGCTCCGGCCACCTCCAGGGGTGTAAACTATCACGGAGGCCCGAGGGACAGATGGGGTGATGGTGAGGAGTTAAGGATGAAGAGAAGGAGAGAACAAGGCAGGTAGGAGATGTCTAAAGTGGGAAGGAAGATGCCAAGAATGGAAACCAAACAGTTTGACTAAGAAGAGACGGCCAGGATGGGGGCAGACAGGTAAAGAAACATGGGGTCTGAGAGGCAAGACAGACCTAGCCTGTGGTTCTCAGCCAGGGGCACTTCTGCCCCCCAGGAGACATATGACAATATGCAAAGATACTTTTGATTATCACAACTGAGAGGTGCTACTGGCATCTATGGGTACCAGAGATGCAGCTCAATCTTGCAATGCACACACAGTCCCCACCCCAAAGAACGATCCAGCCCCAAATGTCCCTAATGCTGATGGCAGGAAACCCAGCCTTAGGGGTGTATATGGACAGGAGCTGGCCCCACCATGGTTTCTTCTAAGTTCCAGTTAGCCAGATCTCTCTCTCTCTCTCTCACACACACACACACACACTCTCTCTCTCTCTCTCTCTGGGACAGTCTAGTTTATCTACAGAAGAATTCACCAGGTGTTCTGGTAGATCAATGCCAGGAAGGTTTTAGTCCCCCTCTCTGCTGTCCTGGACCCACGCCCATCATGGGTCTATGGGTTTTTTTCTACTTAAAAAATTAATGGGATTCACATTTTAGAGGAGTTTCAGGTTTATGAAGAATTGAACAGAGGGATGCTTGGGTGGTTCAGTCAGTTAAGCGTCTGTCTTCGGCTTAGGTCATGGTGTCGGGGTCCTGGGATCAGCCCATGTCCAGGCTCCCTGCTCAGTGGGGATTCTGCTGCTCCCTCTCCCCCTCCACTCCCTCTGCTCATGCTCAATCTCTCTCTCAAATAAATGAATTAAAAAAATCTTTTTAAAGATAGATTTATTTATTTATTTATTTATTTATTTATTTATTTATTTATTTATTTATTCGACAGAGAGAGAGACACAGCGAGAGCAGGAACACAAGCAGGGGGAGTGGGAGAGGGAGAAGCAGGCTTCCCGCTGAGCGGGGAGCCCAATGTGGGGCTTGATCCCAGGACCCTGGGATCATGACCTGAACTGAAGGCAGACACCCAATGACTGAACCACCTAAGTACCCCTGAATTTTAAAAATCTTTTTAAAAATTGAGAATTCATCAGTTGCATATAACACCCAGTGCTCATTATATCTTGTGCCCTCCTCAGTGCATCTGAAACTAATAATATACTATATGTTAACTAATTGAATTTAAATAAAATAAGTAATAAAATAAAATAAAAAATAATAAAAAATTGAGCAGATAATGCAGAGATTTCTTATAGACCCTCTGTCTCCCTGCACAGTTTCCCCCTTAATATTCTGCATTAGTGAGGTAGGTACCTCTATTACAGTTGCTGAGGTAATATTGACACATTATTATTAACAAAAGCCTACAGTTTACATTAGGTTCACTGTTGGTGTTGTACATGCTATGAGTTTTGAAAAATGCACAATGTAATGTACCCACCATTACAGTATCATACAGAACAGTTCACCAGTTTACCGCACCACCCCAGAGTTCCACCTATTTATCCCTTCCTCTCTCCCCTCTGAGCCTCTGGCAACCACCAATCTTTTTACTGTCTCCATAGTTTTGTCTTTTCCAGAATGAACAAGCACCCCTCTTAGGTGCATTCTGCATCCCCCTCATTTCAGAGGGTGCTTTATGCAGCTCTGGGCCAACCCCTTGGGACATGGTGACTTCTTGTCTTCTCATACCTCCTCTCCCTTTCTTTCTTCAAGGCTGTGGGTTTTTGTGATCTTAACTGATATGGGGAGGGAGTGTGTGAATGGTCTAGCATGGTGAAACTGACATCTCCCAGGTCCTGGGAGTGGCCTCTGACATTCATTAACTGCCACCAGTAAGTGGTGAGTATGACAGAGAGGTTAGAAAGAGATAAATTTTGGGGTCATTCAAATGTAGGTTCAGATCCTGGCTTTCTTATTCCAGAGCTGTGGTCCCTTGGGCAATTGATATGTCTTCTGTGGGATTCAGCTGCCACATCTATAAAATGGGGATCATAGCAGATGCCTTATAATGTTGGAGTAAAGATTTAATACAAAATGCATGAGCATAGGTGCTGGGTCTATAGGATACATCCAATAAAGGGTAGCTGTTCTCATCAAGAACTCAAAATCCAGTGCCAGAGATAGTTGTATCTCTAGCATGACCCATTATGATGAGGGTCATGATAAAGTTAGGAGTAAGTTTTAAACTCACTCAGGAGTCATTGTTTTGGAAGCACGCAAGAATGAGTCATTAAATCTGCTTTGGGAAGAGAATTCCAGGATGACATTTAAGCTGAATCTTAAAGATAAATAGGCATTTGATGGATGGAGAAGGAAGGAACCAAGATTGGGGCAGAGGGAACATGCCAAGGAATTGCAACTGCACTATCTAGATCATTGCTTTCAACTGGGGTTGAGTTTGCCCTCATGGGAACATTGGCGATGCCTGGAGACATTTTTGGCTGTCACGACTAAGCAGGCACTGGTAGAGGTCAAGGATGTATTTGGTTGTCCAGTTTGCAATCCACCAGGAGGGGCAGGATATGAGAGCTCTCCCTGCTGAAACCTCCCAGTGCATTTTAGTGAGGTTTCCCTCTACTAATTTTCACAAATGTCAGCTGTCATTGATCATGGGCAGCCTCCTGAACAAGTCCAGGTATAGTGAAAGCCTTTCTCCATCCAGTAGCTGACCTCTCTCTGTCACACTTCACCCCAGGCAGCCTCCATGCAGAGAGGCAATTTCTCAGTGGTGACCGAATTCATCCTCGTGGGTTTCTCCACCTTCCCTCACCTTCAGCTAATGTTCTTCTTGCTGTTCCTGTTGATGTACCTGTTCACCCTGCTGGGGAACCTGCTCATCATGGCCACTGTCGGGAGCGATCGTGGCCTGCACACACCCATGTACCTCTTCCTGTGTGCCCTGTCCATCTCCGAGATCCTCTACACCTTGGTCATCACCCCGCGCCTGCTGGCCGACCTGCTCTCCACATGCCACACCATCGCCTTTGCGGCCTGTGTCAGCCAGATGTTCTTCTCCTTCATGTTCGGCTTCACCCACTCCTTCCTGCTCACCGTCATGGGCTACGACCGCTATGTGGCCATCTGCCATCCCCTGCGCTACAACGTGCTCATGAGCCCCCGTGGCTGTGCCTGCCTGGTGGCCTGGTCCTGGGCTGGTGGCTCGGTCATGGGGCTGGTGGTGACCATGGCCATTTTTTGCCTCAACTTCTGTGGACCCAATGAGATCCACCATTTTGCTTGCCATGTGCCACCACTGTTGAAGCTGGCCTGTGGAACTAATGTACCAATAGTGGCCCTGGGCGTGGGTCTGGTGTGCATCACCACCCTGCTGGGCTGCTTTCTCCTCATCCTCCTTTCTTATGCCTTCATTGTGGCTGCCATCTTGAAGATCCCCTCAGCTGAGGGTCGGCACAAAGCCTTCTCCACCTGTGCCTCCCACCTCACTGTCGTGGTCATGCACTATGGCTTCGCTTCTGTCATCTACCTCAAGCCCAAGGCTCCCCAGTCTCTGGAAGGAGACACCCTGATGGGCATCACCTACACAATCCTCACACCTTTCCTCAGTCCCATCATCTTCAGTCTCAGGAACAAGGAGCTGAAGGCTGCCATGAAGAAGACCTTCTTTAGCAAACTCTACCCAGAAAAAATATGATGATCTGGGAAGAATTACTTGGAAACAGCTAAATTGTATTACCAGATGCTACCATTAGAAATGGCACCCTGTAACATATAACATATTATTTGTTTCAGAGGTACAGATCTGTGATTCAACAGTCTTGCACGATTCACAGCACTCACCATAGCACATACCCTCCCCAATGTTTACCACGCAGCCACCCCATCCCTTCCAACCCACCCACCACTCCGGCAAAAAAAAAAAGAAGAAGAAGAAGAAGATAGCAGGAGGGGAAGAATGAAGGGGGGAAATCGGAGGGGGAGATGAACCATGAGAGACGATGGACTCTGAAAAAGAAACTGAGGGTTCTAGAGGGGAGGAGGGTGGGGGGATGGGTTAGCCTGGTGATGGGTATTAAAGAGGGCACGTTCTGCATGGAGCACTGGGTGTTATACGCAAATAATGAATCATGGAACACTACATCAAAAACTAATGATGTAATGTATGGTGATTAGCATAACATAAAAAAAAAAGAAATGGCACCCTGTAAACATGTAATAACCTATATTTATCTGATGCTTTCAGGTTTACAAGTACCCTTGAAGGCAATATCCAAACGTACACACAATTGTTAATCAGCATTAAGAGTGTATTAAGATGTATGAGATGATGACACACAGAGAAAATCAGATTTCATGATTCTTACCTGCTGCAGGACACTTTATCAGGCAGCATCAAACCTAGGATCTGTTCTTCTCCTGCCAGAAGCCAGGGTGGTCTAATTACTCCCATGACCTTTAATCCATATTATGAAGAGAAATGGAAGATGTCAGGTCTCCACCTTCTACTAGGCAGCAATGGGTACCTACAGCATGGATTTTGCAAGGCTACAAAAGACTAAGCTAGATTATAACAGAGGAGAGCAAAGGACCCAAAATTTCGGCATTATACAGATCTGTGCAATAGCAGTTAGAAACGGTAATAAAGCAGACTCACACACACAATCAAGGAAACCTCTGCATTTCAAGTGTGCATCTTGAGCAGCTGCAGAGAAACAGAGACATCTTCACAGTAAGTTCAAGGAAAAAGTCCCACCGTGAGAAATTCCCTGTTGTGTTAGAGAGTGATGTGGCACACAGGCCAGTGGGGAACTCTTTGCTGGGCCACAATGAGTGCAGAGTCCAGGATAAAGGCGTATCTCATGATCAGACTGGCTTAATGCTTCCCCGTGGGCATGAGGGGGTATTTAAGGTTGACCATACTACATAGTATTTATAATTTGTTGAAAATATGTATATTTAAGAGAATGACAAATACTGTATAGTATCACTTATATGCAAAACCTAAAAAAGCTGAACTCGTAAAAACAGAGTAAAATTGTTGGTTACCAGGGACTGAGGGGGGTTTGGGGAGATGTTGTTTAAGGGTACAAATTTGCAACCAGTAGATAAATAAGTCCTGGAGGTCTCACCCATAGCATAGTGATTATGGATAACAATATTGTACCAGTAACTTAAAAGTTGTTAAGAGACTAGATCTTAGTCGTTCCCACCACAAAAATGAAATGGTAATTATGTGACATGATAGAGGTATTAGCTAATTCTACAGTTGTAATCATATTGCAATATGTAAATGTATCAAATCAACACATAGTACACCTTAAACTTACACAATGTTATGTGTCAATTATATCTCAATAAAAAAATGTTTTCTTTAGGCACCTGGCTGGCTCAGTTGGTAGAGCCTGTGATTTGATTTCAGGGTTGTGAGTTTCAGCCCTATGTTGGGTGTAGAGATTACTTATAAATAAAATTTTTAAAAAAGTTTTCCTTAAATTGTTTCTGAATATGAATTTGTGAGTTATTTTAAAAGAGCAATTTATCATAATACTAATGGACATTAGTTTATTGTGATACTGTTTTACACAACAACACATGTAATTAAAATGCACAAGCAATAAATTAGTCAAATTAGCCAAAGCCAAAAAAAAATATGTTTATTCATATTTAAGTTGAATAGTAAACTATTCTTCATTGGTCCTAAAGTTGAATTCAATTTTTCTCTGTAACTTGAGCAATAAAAATATCCCATGTTATCATGAAGTGGGAGGATGTAGGAAACAACTTCAGTCAAAAGTGGGAAACCCAGACCATCCTCCTTTGCAGAATGTACACTGCACTGCATATTTCCTGTTACCCCTCATGTACATTATCTCATTATAGCCTCACAATGAGGGATCAGGGCAGATAAATTCACATAAAGCAGGGCTTTATGTACACTCTGCACACAGATGACCCCCAAATTCCTATCTTCATCCCTATCCAACTGCCTACGCAGTATCTCCACATGGATATCTAGTAGGCTTCTCAAACTTAACGTGTCCAAAACCTAACTCTTGGAAGTTCTCATTGCTGTTATCATTATCTCTCTCTCTCTGTCTGTCTCTTTCTCACACCCATACAATTCTTCCACAATCTTTCTTATCTCAGAAAACAGCAACTCGATCTCAATTCCCTGAAAACATTTCGGCTCAAAAATCATAGAGCCCTTCTCTAACGATACCACACAAAATAGAAACACCCTGGCCACGTCCTATGTCTCTTGATCTGCGTTACTTATCTGACACGTGCTTATTACCACCTGCATATATCTGCTTGTTGGATATTGTCTGTCTCTGCCCCCAGAATGTTGTTTGAGGTAGTCAGGGACTCTTGGCCCATTTTGTAAACTGCTATATGCCTACACAGCATATGTAAGTTCTCAAATATTTGTTGAATAAATCAATTTAGAAGAATGATGGCAAATGAGGGTAACTGTGAGGTACATTTTTGTCTATCCAAGCAGAAGTCCAAAAACATTTTCAAGTTTGTTAACACTGTTGCAGTGGGGTGGGGAAATTGGCTCTCATACATTGCTCTTTGTGCTTAGGCAGCTCACTTCCTCTCTCTGAGCCTATCCTGAAAGAATGCACAACACCTACCTTCTAAGATAGTTTTAAGACTGAAGTAAGACATTGGGGCGCCTGGGTGGCTCAGTTGGTTAAGTGACTGCCTTCGGCTCAGGTCATGATCCTGGAGTCCCAGGATCGAGTCCCGCATCGGGCTCCCTGCTCAGCAGGGAGTCTGCTTCTCCCTCTGACCCTCCTCCCTCTCATGCTCTCTCTCTATCATTCCCTCTCTCTCAATAAATAAATAAAAATCTTAAAAAAAAAAGACTGAAGTAAGACAATGCTTGTGAAGGGCTTAGCATGGTGCCTGGCACAAGGATATCCACAGTAATTAGGATGACCTTATAATTTCAAGTTTTGTTTGATGAGCTTGGGATCAGAGAGAGGTGTGAGTTGAGGCAATGACCAATTGGAGCCATCAACTTTGATGTATCCATCTTTGTTATCAGTGCTGCAAGAGTAGGTCTTCAGTGGAGAGGATTGGGGTCCAGCAGGGGGCACCATTGGGAGAAGTGCTGCTCCAACTAAGCTTCCTGATCTAACCCTCTTCTCCCAGAATTGTCTTCTCCTGGAATATCCTCCTCTCTATGGCTCGTAGCCTCCATGAATGGTCCCCATGACTCATCACCACGGCAACAGCTAATGGCACTAGAGATCGGTGAAACCTAGGTCTCTCAAGAGATAAAAAGGTGCTCTGAATTGCGAACAGGTCTGTGCAGTGGTTAAGTGATGAAGCAAAGTGGTGTTGGTTAAATCACATCCCATCTCTTGGCCTCAGTTTCCTATCGTTAAAATGGGTTTAATAATAATGTAGTCATCCCTTAGGATATTTCTGAGAATTAAATAACATCATCTATGTAGGGCAATTGACAATGACTGGCATGCAATGGCACTCAATTAATACCAACTTTTTAAGACCTGTTCAATAATTATTTGCAGCCTTCTGTGTCTCAAATCCTGTGCTAGTTTTCATAGTACAGAGATGGGTCCATTGCTATTCTCTGTCTTTGAAGAGTTTCTAGGTTCTTGATGGAATGACACACAGAGAAATACCAGGGCTCTCACCAAGATATGGACCAAGCACTAACGGCGACCAAAAGGGGCATGACTCTCACCAGTGCTCCCCAGAGGACACTTGGAAGTTTATGGAGAATTTTTGGTTATCACAGCTGAAGGAGGGTGAAATGCTCTACAATATCTAGTGGGTGAAGGCCAGGGATGCTGTTCAACATCCTACAATGCACAGAACAGCCCCTACCACGAAGAATGAGCCATCCCCAAATGTCAATAGTACCAATGATGACAAACCTTGTTGTATTTATTCAACAGTTATTGAGCATCTACTGTGAGCCAGGCACTTTTTTAGATGCCACTAGGGATACAATGTTAAACTGATTAAACATAACCCCTGATTTCAGTGCTTGTACTTGAGAGAGAAAGACGTGGATATTAAACAAATAATCAACCTAGTGAATATATATGACAAACTGTGATAAATGCTATGAAGAAAAAGAAAGAAGTTGCTATGATAAGAGTTGCTTATAATAGGGGTGGCAACTTAGTATGGGGAAGTCAGGAAAGGCTTTCCTGAGGACACGGCATTTAAGGTCAGACCTAAGGATGTGTAAGAGTAGGGGGAGGGTGTCCCAGGTAGAAGCAACAACCTATGCAAAGTTCCTGAGGTCCGAGCATGCTTGATTTATTACAGAACAGCCAAGGGGCTAGTGGGGCTGGAGAGCAGGGGAGTGCTGGGGGATAGAACTGGAGACGAAGCAGTGATCCAACCACACTAGAGTTTGTACTGTATCTCAAGAGTGTACAAACCAACTGGTGATTTTTCAGGTTTTCCCTTTAGAAAGATCCCTCTGGCCTCTGGACAGAGATAGCCTGGGGTGGGGGCGAGGGGGAGGAGGAGGAAAACACCCTTGAGTAAGGAGCTGGCAAGGGCAAGGGGGTCAAGGTCAACATTGGAGGAGAACAGAACAATAGAGGTGAAGGCAGTAAATTGCATCTCTTAAGCTGGCCTTTGCCTCCAGCAATTAGCACTGAAACACTCCAATTAGTGCAGGGAGGGAAGGGTCCCCTAAAGTCTGGAGATCTCCCCAACAACAGCCCTTCTCTGTGCTTCAGGCCTTTTAATCACTTCTCTGGGCTCTGGCTCTGCCTTGGGGGATACCAAAGAATGTGGCACAAAGGGGAGCATTAGCAAGGAATGGCAAACAGTTAAGAATGGAGCGGGTGGGGGGAACTTCAGAAAGTGGGAGCTGAATACTAGAGGGGAGGTGGGACAGGGCCCCTGGGTGTGGGGACTGGTCTTGGTCAGCACTAGTGAGCAGAGGGGTGGGGGCTGTCTCCAACTCTGTGATGTCAAGGGTCATCACCTAAGATCCTGTTGTGTTTACATTGACTTTCTGGCATATATTCTTATTCCTATTTTCTGTCACCAGATAAGTTAATGATGGCTTCTATTTTTTGGTCCTCTTCAGGAAAAATAAATGCAAGGTTATTGGGGGTGGGGCAAGGCAGGGAGAGTCTAGCAGGGCAGGGACTAGGGTCAGGCAAATGAGGCATTCACTTTGACCACCAAATTTAGGGGGCCACCAAAAAATTCAGTTATCTAGATAGATCATATTTAATGCAGCATTTTTTATTTTTTTTAAGATTTTATTTATTTATTTGAGAGAGAGAGAATGAGAGACAGAGAGCACGAGAGGGAAGAGGGTCAGAGGGAGATGCAGACTCCCCGCCGAGCAGGAAGCCCGACGCGGGACTCAATCCCGGGACTCGAGGAGCATGACCTGAGCCGAAGGCAGTCACCCAACCAACTGAGCCACCCAGGCGCCCATTAATGCAGCATTTTAAAAGTCAAAATTAATGCAAAAAATTTATGATGAACAGCACATCAACATTTTAAATAAAGATGGGATGCAACGCTGCACTTTCATAGCCCGGCCTCAAACATCTGTCCTGACCCAGCCCTTGGAGTTTAGAATACGTCACTTACAGAAACAACATACATTCACTAAGTTCAATTTCTCTGGTTGTTTTAAAATTTTCAAAACAACTAATACTAAATAAAGCAAAGGACTAAACACATGGTTTATTTAAATTTCAGAATGCGTTGACATTGATCAATCAAACTAGAGTAAGTTGATTTTCTGATGACCACAGGGAGCCAAACTGACACTTCTTGGATATAATCCAGAAACCATTTTTGCCATCAGCTCTTCCAAATTCACAGTCTCTTACCCATTTCCCAGGTCAACCAGTATACTCCAAGATGTTTCTGGATCTGTGACCAGACAAATTCTGGCTACACCCCAAGACTTGTGCTGGTCATTTAAACATAACTTGTATATGACAACTCTAAGAGGGGCGGCTCTTACCATCTGGGACTCTTTCTCATTTTGTAAGGGAGGCAAAGGATGTTGCCAAATATTGCTAATTAACTACCTCGAATCTTCTCAATATAACCCAGGAACCTGGCTTCAAAAGGGGTCAGAGTTTCTTTTTTCTTACAGAAAATTTATTTAATTTTTTGTGGAATTCAAGTTAATTAATTAATTTATTTTTATTATTATGTTCATTTAGCCAGCATATAGCACATCATTAGTTTTTGATGTAGTGTTCAACAATTCATTAGTTGCATATAACACCCAGTGCTCATCACCACATGTGCCCTGCTTAATACCCATCACCCGGTTACCCCAACCCCCCACCCTTTGTAACCCTCAGTTTGGTTCCAAGTTTTTTTAGAGCAAACAATTTGGTGTTTGAACATGACAATATTTTCTATATTAATACATCTATTAATGAAAACCAAAACCAGAAATGCTACAGCCAGTTTTGTCAAGCTTATAACATGGCTCTCCCATCCTTTCACACTGGGTGTTTCTTCCAAACCTCCCCACCCCCCCCAGAACAGCATATCTCCAGTTCTGCCTCATTTCATTAGTGCTTGCCAAAATTGGTCCCTCCTTTCCAATCCAGGTCTTCATCCCTTCTTGGAACACACTGGCTTCCTCTCCTTGTAACCCCTGAGAAATGTATGCTTCTGATCCCCAGTTCCAACTTAAAGAATTCTAGTTTTTCCACTTCAGGGGCAAGAACTTTAACCAATGGATTTAATCTCTTTATATCTCTGTTTCCTCATCTTCAAAGTGGAGCTGATAATATGATCTTCCTTGTGAAGTAAAGGAACTGATGTGTATTAGATCATTTAAGACTGTACCTATTAGTAGTCATCAGGGAAAATCAAATCAAAACCACAATAAGATACCACTAGCATGGTTATGATCAAAAAGTTAGATATGTTAGTGTTTGGCAAGGATGTAGAGAAACTGGGACCCTCACACACTGCTGGTGGGAATGTAAGATGATCCAGCCACTTTGGAGAACAGTCTAGCAGTTCCTCAAATGATATAGCATAGAGTTACCATACGATCCCTCAATTCCACTCCTGGGTATATACCCCCCCACAATGAAAATGTAGAAAATGTATATCCATGCAGAAACTTGAACATGAATGTTTATTGCAGCATTACTCATTATAGCCAAAGTCAGAAACAGACCAAATATCTATCAACAGATGAATGGATAAACAAAGGGCAATCTATCCAAACAATGGGATATCATTCAGCCATAAAAAGGAATGAAACACTGATTCATGCTACCATGTGAGTAAACCTTGAAAACATGCTAAGTGAAAGAAGCCAAACACAAAAAGATCAATACTGTATGACCCTTTATAAAAAAAATGTCCAGAACAGGCAAATCTATAAAGACAGTGGATTAGTAGCTGCTTAAGCCTGGAGGGGAGGGAGGAAAGAGGGATGACAGCTAAATGGTACAAGGTTTTATGTGGAGGTGATGAAAATGTTCTAAATTGACTGTGGTGATGATTACACATATCTTTAAGTGGGTGAATTATATGGTATGTGAAGTACATCTCCATAGAGCTGTTTTTTAAAAGACCACACCTAGCTGATGATAAATGGCCCCCAAAATGGGGGAAAAAATGGAAGCTGTTATCAGCATAACTATTAATAAGGAAAGAAGGAAGATTGGAAGGAAGGAAGGAAGGAAGGAAGGAAGGAAGGAAGGAAGGAATGAAGGAAGGAAGGAAGAAAGAAAGGAAGGGAGAAAGAAAAAAAGAAAGTTACTTTTGTTTCCAACTCAAATATCTGGCTCTATCTTTGAGCTAAAGATTCTGTAGAGCAGGGGTTTCCAAACTGTCATCATCAGACCAGCAGCCTCAGCACCCGAGAGCTTGTTAGAAATACAGGACTGGAGGAGATTATGCTAAGTGAAATAAGTCAAGCAGAGAAAGTCAATTATCATATGGTTTCACTTATTTCTGGAACATAAGGAATAGCATGGAGGACATTAGGAGAAGGAAGGGAAAAATGAAGGGGGGAAATCGGAGGGAGGGATGAACCATGAGAGACTATGGACTCCGAGAAACAAACAGAGTTTTAGAGGGGAAGGGGGTGGGGGGATGGATTAACCTGGTGATGGGTATTAAGGAGGGCACGTACTGCATGGAGCACTGGGTGTTATACGAAAACAATGGGTCGTGGATCACCACATCGAAAACTAATGATGTATTGTATGGTGACTAACATAACATAATAAAATTAAAAAAAAAACAGATTCTAGAGCCCTTTCACAGATGTGTTGAATCAGACACTTTGGAGGGGGGCCCAGCAGTCTGTGTCCCAACCAACCCTCCAGGTGCCTGTGATGTGTCCCCACCTTGGAGACCCATTACCCCAGAGGACTCACTGGGCTGACCCCATACTGCATCCCTGCACCTTGCAGCCTTTGCAACCCAGAGCAAGTGCCAAACCTCACTTTACCCATTTCCTCATTTAAAAACGAAGCACAACCCCAGGGGGCTGCCTGAATCTGCCTGAGCAGCTCCCCTGAAGCAGGACCCAGCCTGTGGGTGCTTCCCCTGAATATATCTGACTCCACAACACATGAAAGAGAAATGGGTATTTATTGAGGATTTCAAGGGAGTCAGGGAAGGGGAATTTACATCAAGTGCTTAATGGCAACTTCATAAACCTTATAAAATGCCCATTTACATGCCTGTTCTTTCCTCAAACTTCTTCGCCAGTCACTGGGCCCAACACCTCCTTTATGTCCTGGTCAACTTCCAGCAACTGGTGTTTCCTCCTGTCCTAGTCCTTCCCCTCAGCCCAGTCCCCACTTCCTTAGTCCTCTTCCACATCTTTGCACCACCTGTCCACACACATCTTTTCTCCCAAAAAGAAATTCAGATTGCCTCTCTTTCTTTCTGCACCCTCAGTCATTCGGCTCAGCCAACAAAGGCAACACTTGGGGGAGACACCTTTCCATCAAAAATGTGAAGAACGAGAAATGAACAATCATTTTCTTCATCAAAAATGCTTCCTTTTCCTCAACATGGTATTCAGAATGAGAGCAAGGATGTGTCTGGAGCAGAGGACAATGCTCGGCACACAGTAGGTGCCCAATCACAATTTATGTATTTTGGGCAAAGCGAGTGTCCCTCATTCACATATTTGCGATAAACCATGCACATAAGCTTCCCAACACAGCGATGTGGGCATGACCCCCCCACCTGCCACCCCCAGCCACCCTCAGGCACAGGAACCAGGAGGAAGCTGACATACATGATCAATATTGGGGAGGTTGTGACCCCAGTGAATCCAGGAGGAATGAGGTCACTGAGACTGGGGGAAAGGAGAGAAAACACACCTAGAATTTAGAGTACTTGCCAAGAAGGCAGGTGGGGGAATTCACATAGAAGAATCACCACCAGGTGCACCCAGGTGGCTCAGTCGGTTAAGCGTCTGCCTTCGGCTCAGGTCATGATCCCAGGGTCCTGGGATCGAGCCCTGCATCGGGCTCCCTGCTCAGAGGAAAGTCTGCTTCTCCCTCTCCCTCTGCTGCTCCCCCTGCTTGTGCATTTTCTCTCTCAAACAAATAAGATCTTACAAAAAAAGAATCATTACCAGTGAAGCATGATCATTCCCATTTTATAGATGGAAGCCTGAGGTGACTCTACACAACACATCCCCTGCCACAAAAGAAACCACTTCAGGAGCTCTGGGGATAGAGTTTTCTGAGGAAGGTCTTCTTCATGGCAGCCTTCAGCTCCTTGTTCCTGAGACTGAAGATGATGGGGCTGAGGAAAGGTGTGAGGATTGTGTAGGTGATGCCCATCAGGGTGTCTCCTTCCAGAGACTGGGGAGCCTTGGGCTTGAGGTAGATGACAGAAGCGAAGCCATAGTGCATGACCACGACAGTGAGGTGGGAGGCACAGGTGGAGAAGGCTTTGTGCCGACCCTCAGCTGAGGGGATCTTCAAGATGGCAGCCACAATGAAGGCATAAGAAAGGAGGATGAGGAGAAAGCAGCCCAGCAGGGTGGTGATGCACACCAGACCCACGCCCAGGGCCACCACTGGTACGTGAGTTCCACAGGCCAGCTTCACAAGAGGTGGCACGTGGCAGAAGAAATGGTGGACCTCACGGGGTCCACAGAAATTGAGGTGGAAAATGGCCATGGTCACCACCAGCCCCATGACTGAGCTACCAGCCCAGGACCAGGCCACCAGGCAGGCACAGCCATGGGGGCTCATGAGCACGTTGTAGCGCAGGGGATGGCAGATGGCCACGTAGCGGTCGTAGCCCATGACGGTGAGCAAGAAGGAGTGGGTGAAGCCGAACATGAAGGAGAAGAACATCTGGCTGATACAGGCTGCAAAGGCGATGGTGCGGCGGGTGGAGAGCAGGTCGGCCAGCAGGCGCGGGGTGATGGACAAGGTGTAGAGGATCTCGGAGATGGACAGGGCACACAGGAAGAGGTACATGGGCGTGTGCAGGCCGCGTTCGCTCCAGACAGTGGCCATGATGAGCAGGTTCCCCAGCAGGGTGAACAGGTACATGAGCAGGAACAGCAGGAAGAAGATGGGCAGGAGATGTGGTGGGAAGGTGGAGAAGCCCACGAGGATGAATTCAGACACGGAGCTGTGGTTTAGGTCCAGCGTGGCGGCCATCCCTGGGTGGGGAGAGAGGGAAGGCTGCCCGGTGGGCAGGAGCTCCAGGTCTGTGCTGAGCCCGGCCCGGAAGGACTTCCCGGAGGGAGAGGGGGCCCTCTCCCTGCAGACCATGGCCAGTCCCTCCACCACCTGCTGCTCATGATGACTGTCAGTGCTCCTCGGAGCTGCTGGGGGTTCACGGAAGATCGTGAGCCTCAAGTGCATAGTACAGGGCCTGGCACATGTAAGAACTCAGGAAATGATGATAATAGTAATAATAATAATAATAATAACTACTATTTTAAAATCTCAGTGGAAAGAGCTCAGGGTCTCTATTCAGCCACACCTGGGTTGAGTCCCTCTTCAGAGCTTGTCAGTGCCTCCAGCCATGTTTCTAAGTAGGAATGGAAAATTAAAGGAAAAAGCAACAATTCAGTCTTCTTTTTAAAAAAAGTTATTATGCAAGGGTCTCCAATAAAAATTTTCAAATTGGAACAATCTGGTGCTGGTTGGAATTCCACCTTTGAAAGGTTAATGCAGATCTTGCCATTAGTATCCCCAGTTTGCTGTATCAACTCGGGGCTGTTTGCAAGGCTTAGCAAGTACTACGTGGTGGCTTTTTTTCTTTAATGACAAAACTCTACCATATTGTCCACATGAGTTAAATAAATTTGAGAAGTTGTTTTAAAACAGTGCTTCCAACAACTACACCAACAGCAACAACATTGGGTTGGTTCCTTAATCTTTTTGAGCCTTAGTTTCCTCATCCCTTAAAGGAAGTTGATCATAATAATACCTAGCTGACAAAGTTGTTATAAGGATTAAATAAGATTATACATATAATGTACTTACTATAGGGTGTGGAATAGATAATAAACACTGGAGAAGTTAAGAGTGAGGACAGGCATGAGTGACCAGAAACAGATTCTCTTAAAATGTAGCAACTTATGGTTGTATCTCTCTTTTAATTGGGTATTTAATACATTTACCTCTTTTGTAATTACTGGTGTTTTAATACTTAATTCTGTCACATTATTTAATACTTGAGCTGTTATATATATATATATATTAATGTACATAGCTAATATATACTTACATATGTATATTTAATCTGTACAAATACACACAGACACACATACATTCCTATTTACTACACCAAAAGCAAACAAAAAATAAGATAAAAAACCCAAACACTAAGAGCATGTAATTATCACCATAAAGGACCCTGTGTGAGGCCATAAAGGAAGTGCAGGTACATTCCCAAGTACCAATATTACAAAGACCCAGGTATCTGACCATTTGGCAATGAACCTAGAACTTAATAAGAAGGGGATAACTCAAAATTCCCAAATATTTAGAATGTAAATATTAGGTTGAACCATTTGCCATTACCACAGTTACATAATACTCATTAATCTTCAGGTTGAAAGGAAAATTAAGATGGTTTCACTTATTTGTGGAACATAAGGAATAGCATGGAGAACATTAGGAGAGGAAAGGGAAAAATGAAGGGGGGAATCAGAGGGGAGACGAACCATGAGAGACTATGGACTCTGAGAAACAAACTGAGGGTTCCAGAGGGGAGGGGGGAGGGGGGATGGGTTAGCCTGGTGATGGGTATTAAGGAGGGCATGTATTGCATGGAGCACTGGGTGTTATATGAAAACAATGAATCATAGAACACTACATCCAAAACTAGTGATGTACTGTATGGTGATTAATATAACATAATAAAATAAAATTAAAAAAAAAAGAAAGACTAAGAAGTGCATGATAATGAAAAGTTGAAATAACTAAATGAAATGGATTGTGTCCTAGGATAGAAAAAGGATATGAGTGGAGAGCCAGAAAAATTATAGTAAGATCTGTTGTTTGCTATATAGTGTTATATACCAATGATCATTTCCTGGGTCTGATCATTGTCCTGGGGTTCCGTAAGATCCTGTCATTAGAAGGGGTTGGTGAGGGGAGGATAAGAATTTTTTTGTATTATTTTTGCAAGTTTTTCATAAGTTTAAAATTCGTTAATAATAAAACATTACAAAATAAGATATCACTCAAAGTTGTACAAAACCTGTTAACAATCTAGGAATTACTTTAAACAAGAACGCACAAGAGCTTCATGGAGAACAATTAAACCTCTATTAGATAGAAAACATGACAGATCATATAAATAAACGGATGAAAAGAAAAGACAATATAATAAAGATGTTCATTCTCTCCCACATTTAATCTATACATGCAATGTAATCTTTGCAGAAATATCTAGTAGGATTGCTTGAGAAAGATGATAAACTTATTCCAAAGAGTTTATGAAAAAACAATGACCCATGAATGACTGAGGAAGTCTTGAAATGCAGAGTGAAAGGAGGTGGAGGAGTGGGGGAAATTGCCTTCTGAGGTACAGAGACATTCTACAGAGTCTTGGAAACAAAGCAGTGTAGGATTAGTGCAAGGACAGACAGATGACCAGTGGTTCCAAATGCAGACCTCCGAAACAGAGCCAGCCATTTGTATATGGTTAAAGTCACACCACAGATCTTTTGGAAAGAGATGAATTGTTTAGGGGATGCTGTTGAGGAAAGTATCTCTCTGTACAAACAAAAACCAAAACTAGACTCTCAATATCCCAATGAAAAGAGAATCAAGATAGATTAGTAACATAATTGTGATAGATAAAAACCTAGCTAATGAGAGCCAATGTAACAGGATCTTTGTGCTCTAAGAACAAGAAAGAAGTTCCTTAAACAGAAAAAAAAAAGCACAAACCTTAAACAAAAAAGACTGATGCTTTTACATCAGATTTATGAATCATATTAACAAATAGCATCACAGATAAAGTTAACAGATGACAGAGAACAGGATGCTATTTACAGTATAAGTAAGTTCTAGAGTTCTGCTGTAGAGCCTAGAGCCTATACTTAACAATATGATAGTGTGCAATTAAAAACTTCTTAAGAATAGGGGTGCCTGGGTGGCTCAGTCAGTTAAGAGGCTGCCTTTGGCTCCGGTCATGATCCCAGGGTCCTGGGATCGAGTCCCACATCGGGCTCCTTACTCAGCAGGGAGCCTGCTTCTCCCTCTGCCTGCCACTCCCACTGCTTGTGTTCTCTCTCTCTCTGACAAATAAATAAATAAAATCTTTAAAAAAAAACAAAACTTCTTAAGAATATAGACAACCCTGGGTGTTATACGAAAACAATGAATCATGGATCACTATGTCAAAAACTAATGATGTATTGTATGGTGACTAACATAACATAATAAAATTAAATTAAATCAAAAAAAGAATATAGACAACAATATTGTATTATAATCCTCAAACTTGCTAAGAGATTAGATCTTCATTATTCCTAACACAAAAAAGAAATAATTATTTTGTGACCCGATTAGAAGTGCTAACTATCACTGCAAGGGCAATCATATTACAATATATAAACATACCAACTCAGCATGTTGTACACCTTAAATTGATACAATGTTATCTGTCACTATATTTCACTTTTTTTATTATGTTAAGTTAACCACCATACAGTACATCATTAGGTTTTGATGTAGTGTTCAATGATTCATTAGTTGCATATATTTCAATAAAAAAGAACTTGTTAAGATGATAAATTTTGTTAATGTTATTAACACACAAACACACAGAGGAAGGGGGCACAAGGAATCTTTTGGAGTCGATGGATATGTTTATTACCCTGATTGCAGCAATGGTATCACAATTATAGGCACATATGTCCAAACTCATCAAAATGTATTCATTAAATATATGCAGATTTTTGTATGTTATGTATACTTCAGTCAAACAAAAAAAAAATCCACTGACAAGAAACCAATATCTAGAATCTACAATGAGAAGAAAGAGAAATGAGAAAACCAAGGAGAAAAAAGACAGGATCATGATAGAAAGCGAGCAACAGGGCGGGGCACAGGAGATTTACAGCTGAGGAAAGGCAATAGGCAAGCAGCAAACAAAGACATGAGCATTGATCAGCAATTAGAGGAATTCAATTTAAAACAGCAACACTCTGTGAACAGTGAGTACAGGCATCCCCTTCCAACTGCTAGAGCAGCAAGACTTAGAAAGCTGGATCTGCTATGTGTTGGCCCAGATGTGAGATAAGTGGACTGCAGTCACTCTCGAGGGTACTTGGTGGTTCATGGTCAGATTAAGGGGACACTTACCCGAAGTCCCACAAACACTGCTCCAAGGTCTCCATCTGAAACTCGCACACAGCTCAGTGAAGGGACATGGTCAAGGCCATTCATTGCAGCATTGTCTGTGATGGCAGAGAGTCAGGGACAGTCTAAGAGACCCCTATCACCTGAGGGCGTGGAAAAGTAACATGTGGTGTGTGTGAACCATGAAGCTCTAAACAACATATAGGAAAAAAACAAACCTGACGTCCACATAGCAACATGGATGGCTCTTAAACTGTAGCTCTGGGTGATAAATTAGAAAAGAAGTATATATATTTGGGGCACCTGGGTGGCTCAGTCGTTAAGCGTCTGCCTTTGGCTCAGGTCATGGTCCCAGGGTCCTGGGATCAAGCCCCACATCGGGCTCCCTGCTTGGCGGGAAGCCTGCTTCTCCCTCTCCCACTCCCCCTGCTTGTGTTCCCTCTCTCTCTGCGTCTCTCTCTGTCAAATAAATAAATAAAATCTTTAAAAAAAGAAGTATATATATTCATATTTATACCTGTATCACTGATACATATATATCTCAATGATACACACATATATATCATGATACACATATCTATCATATACATATACTACATACATTTAATGACAAGCTTTCAAGTACTTACCCAGTACTTACCCAGGGGAGGCCTCACCCCAATATTACAACACTGCTTCCATCCTCCTCACTCCCTCCCCCAGAAGATTGTCATTAAGTTTTATCTCAGATCCATGGTGAGCCAAAGCTTGGAGGACCCAGAATCCCGTGTGGAAAATGGACAATTCGGCTGAGTGTCAGAATGGGGTCCCTCATACAGGAAAGCAGCATTTGTGGGCTACAGAGGCCTGGGGAAGCCCAGCAACTCCAGCAGTACCAGTCTCAACTCCCTCTCTGCCTCATGCCTT